CGATGAATGAAGATCAGCGGAAGATATACGATGAAATAATGGAAGTTGTGACTGCTGGAAAAGGAGGATTCTTTTTTGTGTATGGTTGCGGTGGAACTGGAAAAACATTTCTTTGGAAATCATTGTCTGCTTCTCTAAGATCAAGTGGTAAAGTTGTCTTGAATGTCGCATCCAGTGGGATTGCAGCATTGCTTTTGCCTAGGGGAAGGACAACACACTCTAGATTTTCAATTCCTTTGGCGCTAACAGAGTGTTCAACGTGTGCCATCAAACAAGGGAGCCCAAAAGCAGAACTAATTCAACAGGCAAGTTTAATCATATGGGATGAAGCATGTATGATGAATAGATTTGCTTTTGAGGCATTGGATCACACGATGAGAGATCTAATGAAGTTCTCTAATCCAAACTCAATAAATGAACCATTTGGAGGGAAAACAGTTGTACTCGGAGGTGATATCAGACAAATTCTTCCTGTTTTACCCAGAGCTTCGAGAGAGGAAATTGTAGGTGCTACCATTAATTCTTCAAATTTGTGGTCTTATTGTAAAGTTTTTAAGTTGACGAAAAATATGAGATTGCATTCATCAACGTCCTCTTGCGTAGATAGAGACACGCAAGATTTTTCTGATTGGATAATAAAAGTTGGAGATGGAAAGCTATGACAAGTGATTGATGGAACTGCTGACGCTGAAATTCCTCTCGAATTTCTGACTATAGATAACAGCTCACCCCTCAAAAGTATAGTGGACTTTACTTATCCGAACTTATTGGAGAATATGAGAAGTTATTCTTTTTTTGAAGACATGACACTACTAGCACCCACGCTCGAAGTTGTAGAAATGGTAAATGAATTTGTCTTATCCCTCATTCCCGGAGATGAAATGGTGTACTTGAGTTCTGATTCATCATGCCAAGCAGATTCAGATGTAGGTGTTGATGGCGACTGGATAACAGTTGCGTTTTTGAATGAAATCAAATGTTCGGGAATCTCAAACCACATGATAGTTTTAAAAAAAGGGGTACCAATTATGTTACTGAGGAACATTGACCAAATATCTGGATTGTGTAATGTTACAAGATTAATTGTTGACGAGATGCGAAAGAATGTTATTGGTGCTATTGTGGTTTCGGGAAATCGAGTGGGCGAAAAAGTTTACATACCCCGGATGAATTTGGTACCGTCTGATCCAGGACTACCTCTAAAGTTCCAGAGAAGACAATTTCCAATAGCCTTATGTTTTGCTATGACTATTAACAAAAGTCAAGGTCAAACATTGTCATTTGTTGGATTATTTTTAACCAAGTCAGTGTTCACTCATGGTCAGCTTTATGTTGCTGTTTCGCGAGTGGTGACAAAGACAAGATTAAAAATATTAGTCTTAGATGACAATGGAAATCCTTGCAGCCATACAAAAAATGTTGTGTACCCTGAAATCTTTCAAAAAATTTGGTATTAAAGCAAACTTTGTTGTGTGTAGATTCAATTCCTCAAATATTATTCTTTTTACTTTGCCTTTCTTTTCTGTGTTATTATAAATCATGCATGAGGAAAAAATATTGCATTGAATAAATTCAGAATCGACAAGATATTCGTCCGAACCCGTGCATTGCACGGGTAGGAATACTAGTATATTTGTAAAAGAGAATTTAGTTGTTACAATGTTGACATGTGGCATGCCACATGTGCATCCACATGTGCACCCATTTATGAAGTGGATATATGCATTGCACCTATTTTAAATATCTTTTAATACATTTGTATAAAATTTTTCATTCTTTAATAATTCTGAATATATATTTCACCATTGTAAAATAAACTTCGTATTTTGAGTACACACACATAAAATTATTTTTATACTATCCACAGCTTATTTTAGTTTATTACTTCTCGAAAAATGATTGTATAAATTTAAAGGGTGACAACTGACAAATGACATCATGACACATATATATTCTCTAATGATGTATCATTATGCATGTAACTGATCCACTTTTTATTATAATATTTTATTGATTCAAACCATTTCTATTTAGTACTTAATTCAATGATTATTAATTTTGTAAAATTGTTTTTTTTAAATTAACATACCAATATACTCTGTATGTTCCATCAGTCTAAAACATATTTTGTCACTATTAGAAACTAAAACA